ATCTTTCTTGTGTGGCGGTGGCTCTGTGAGAGCCTGTCATGGTCCATGTATGTGCCCTGGTGTGGCCATGTGGCTGTGGCTGTGGCTAGCACGGTATCTCCCATGACAGTCGATGTGGATGAGAAGTGTTCATGTGTGTGGCTGTCATTGAATTCCATGTAACTGGGGGTGTGACACTGTGACCGGTTCAGTGACCCCCCATTGTGTATGGTGACCCTCTTTTTGATGTTGCTCTTAAGTGTGTTGGCAACCCTGAGCCCACATCCCTGAGGGCGAGTGCTCATGTGGGGCTGTGAGGGGCTGTGCGGTGTGTGGAGAGCCTCCTGTTGTGTCCCTGTGACTGTGTTGGGGGGGAGTTGTTTGATCTGTGTGGGTGTCCGTGACAGGCTGTGTGCACATTGTGCCGTGTGCGTGTGTGGTGTGTGTGCATGAGTATGCAGTTATGTGTGTGGTGGGTTGTGGTGGGTGTTGGGCACCTGTCTGAATGAGTGGGCCTGTCTTGTTCACCACAAGGCTGGCACTCAGTACAGTGCCTGGAACGCAGCAGGCACTTGGTCCATGGCGGTGAGATGGGCGAATGCTGGGCCATGGTGTGTCGGGGGCGGGGGGTGGGATGGAGGCTGTGGCTGAGCTGTGTACTCTGGGGGTGCCCGTGTGGTTGATTATGTCTCTGGGAGGGTGAGGGGGCTGTCGCCAGATAGACATCTGGGACCTCTAGCAACCTTCATCCCACATGTTACACTGAAGAGCAAGCCTTGTGGATGGAGCACTGGACCCAGAGTGCCTACCCTCACCTGCCTGCGCCTCAGTTTCCACATCTGTGCAATGGGGGTGACCATCACTGCCCTGCTGGCTGCCAGGAACGGCTGTGAGTCCACGGGCGTGGCAGCCACCTGTGGGAAGTCATAGGGCTCTTTCACAGGTGAGGCCCGCCTGGGAGAATGGGTCAAGCAGGTGTGACCCTGTTAGTGCTTCACTGCTCGGGGTAGTGGGAGCATGTGGTGGGAGATAGCGCCCTAATGATACAGGGAGGTGATGGGCTGGAAGAAAGTAGAGACGGAGAGGCAACTGGGAGAGAAGTAGGGCCTGGCCATCAGCCACGAACCACAGGGACATGGGAGAAGGGGCTCAGGAGCAGGGGCTGGCAGGGGTGGGGGACATGGGGTCCCCTGTAAAGCATGTGGGGAAAGAGGATGGGGTTTTCTAAAACTGGTGGGTGTGAGAACCCTTCTAAATGGATCCTTCTCCGTCGTGGAGGTGTCCCTGTTAAGTTGGAGAATTCTCTTCTAAAGGCCGGGGGGTGGGGGGAGGTCCTGCTTAGTAAGGAGGAGAGTCCCTCCTAAAAGGTATGGGCTCAGAATCTCCTATGTAGGTTATAGGGAGTGAAGACCACTAGAGGATCTTGGGGTTCCCCCGCCAACTGGCTGAGCTGAGCAGGTTGTCAGAGGAGGCTAGTGTCTCCAATGGGCAGGAGCAGGGCTGAGCCCTGGATATGCAGAGGCATGGCCAGGGGACTCCAGGGCCTGTGACCTGAGCGTCCCCCTAGGCCCCACCCTGGCCACCCCATTTCCTCCCACCTCCACAGGCCCAGGCCTTCACCATGGCGGGAGGGAGACCTCAGCTCAAGAGGAGTTTCTCCATCATTCCCTGCTTTGTCTTCGTGGAGGTGAGGCGTCCAGTACCTCCTTCCTTCCCTCCGTGGGGAGGGGGTGTACCTGTCTTTCTGTCCCCTCTCCGTGTCCCTCATCCTGGCCAGGTCCCTACCTGGCCCTGATTTTTCCATCTACCTGGTTCCAGCCCTCCCTTCTCTCTCCCCATCTCCTCCTCCCTGTCTGGGGGGGGGGGGGGGGGGCGGCTGAGAATACTATTCCCTTTCTCTTGAGAAGTGTTCATGGGCTTGGACGCAGAAGTAGCGCTTCCAGGGTTCCAATCGTACTCCTCACATCCTTACTTTTGGACTCTGGGCATCTCACATATCCTCCAGAGCCTCAATTTCCTCCTCTGTCAAGTGGGCATATTTAGAAGGTAAAATGTATTCACTGACAGAAGAGTTATACCTGTGGTAGCTGCTAGTCCTACCCGTAGTATTAATTCTTCCCTGGTGATCTGTCTGTCACTCCCCCGCCCAGTCTCTATATCTCTCTGGTCAGATTTTAGCCGTGTCCTCACTCTCTCTCCCAAATCACATTCCCTCTTTTCTTCTCTCTCTAGTCTACTGTTCTAGTCCCTTCTCTTTTTCTTCTTTGCCTTTTCTTTTTCTCTTTCTCCTTCTCTTCCCTCTTCTCTCCTCTCCCCTCTGTTTCTGTCTTCTCTCTTTCTTTCTGTTTCCATCTCCATCTCTTTTCTCTGTCTCCCAAACCCTGACACTTCTCTGGCCCCATTCCCCACCTCTCTCTCTCTTTTACTCTTTTCATCTCCCTCCGTCTTGGTCATTCTCTGTCTCTCTCCCCCTTTTCTCTCTCTGTCTCTCTCCGTGTGTGTGTGTGTCTCTCTCCATGTCCCCAGTTCAGGCCTGACCTTCTCTCTTTTTCTCTCTGTCTCTCTCCATCTCTCTCTCCGCTCTGGCTGGGTGGCAGTCTGTGCTGCTGGGCGTGGTGGTCCTGCTTGCGTACCGCCTGGAGTTCACGGACACCTTCCCTGTGCACACCCAGGGCTTCTTCTGCTATGACAGTACTTATGCCAAGCCCTACCCGGGGCCCGAGGCTGCCAGCCGGGCACCTCCTGCACTTATCTATGCTCTGGTCACCGCTGGGCCCACCCTCACGGTGAGACTGGGGGGGTAGCCTTGGTAGGCTGTGGGAGGCCCTCCCAGGAGGCAGGAGGGTCAGGGGGAGGTGGCTAGGGCTGGGCTTGAAGGCCAGGAAGACCCTGTTTTGGTCTCATCCACAGATCTTGCTGGGGGAGCTGGCTCGTGCCTTTTTCCCCGCACCACCCTCAGCCATCCCCATCATCGGGGAGAGCACCATCGTGTCTGGGGCCTGCTGCCGCTTCAGCCCCCCACTGAGGAGGCTGGTCCGTTTCCTGGGTGAGTGACAGGGCCAGGGTTCAACTGGGCAAAGGGATATGGGCCAGGCTCAGCCATCATCAGGATTCCAGCGGGAAAGGGGCCTAGAACTGTCATGATGGTCAGAGGCAAAAGGGACTTGGGCCCAGGCCAGACATGATGGAGGTTTTAGGGACATGGATGGGGCCTAAGCCAATTGCAGCAACTGTAAGAGGGGGCCCCAAATTGCCACAGGGAGATTCTGTCAGAAAAGGGGGACACCATGGGGCCCCAGGGAGATGAGACCTCAGCTGTGCTGTAAATGTAGTTCCAGCCACAGTGGGTGGTTGTGGGGACGGGAGGCGGCATAGCTCATCCATGACGGTGGTCCCCCTGGCAGAGGGCCGGTGGTTGGCTCTGGCTCATTGGTGACCCAGAAGAAAAGTGAGCAAGTCGGTCACAGCGAGTCCAGGGCAGATAGAAAGAGGCCCAGAAATGCCATCAAAGGGCTTCCAGGGGGTCCCAGGCATAGGTCCACTGCTGATGTAATGCTGCTGAGGAAACCCAGGTCTAATGGGATCCCAGGGGAGGGCCCCCTGCTGCCATAGCCATAGTCCCAGAGGGACAGAGGCAGGAGGCCCAGAGTGCCATCGTGGTGGCCGGCTATAACGGGGTATGGCATTAAGGGGATTAAATGGTGGTCACGGGAACAAGGAGATAGGGGCCCAGATGAGTCCCAAGGAGGCTCACAGGGGAGCCAGTGCGGCACCAGGGCCCTAACATTGAACCCTTTCCCACCCCATCCCCAGGGGTCTACTCCTTTGGCCTCTTCACCACGACCATCTTCGCCAACGCGGGGCAGGTGGTGACTGGCAACCCCACGCCGCACTTCCTGTCCGTGTGCCGCCCCAACTACACGGCCCTGGGCTGCCAGCCACCCTCCCCGGACCGGCCAGGGCCCGACCGCTTTGTCACCGACCTGGGTGCCTGCGCTGGCAGCCCCAACCTGGTGGCCGCTGCACGCCGCGCCTTCCCCTGCAAGGATGCCGCCCTTTGCGCCTATGCCGTCACCTACACAGCGGTGAGCCCCGAAATGGGAGCTCGGCAGTGGAGGGGCGGGGGGGGGGGGGGGGGGGGGGGGGGGGGCCCCGGGGGGGAGGCCCCCCTGGGTTGGGGCCCCTTTTATTTTCCCCCCGGAAAAAACCCCCCCCGGGCCTTGTGACCCCGCCCATAAGGAAGGGTCTACCCCGGTGGAAGCTCTGGCTCCTCCCCTTGGGCCCTCCTCTTGCCCCGAATCTGCTGTGGTTGACTGGCTGCCTTTTGGTGCCTGGCCCTGCCTCCTGACCCGGTAACGCCACACCCACTGGAAGCTGTTGGCTCCGCCCCGAGGGAGCAGGACACTGTGCCTGGAGCCCAGCCTTGTCCCCAGGGTGCTGCAGGTCCTGGATATTGGCTGGGGGACCGGGCCTTCACCCCCTGGAGCCCTCGGTCCCTCCCCCTTTATTGCCCTGGTCTCTGCTAGGACTTCCTGCCGCTCCCTGGCTTTTCCCTGGCCGCACCCCATGTTGCTTTGACTCCTTTTCCTGGGTTTGGGTCTCAGCTTCTACTCCGGTCAGTGATCCTCTGGCCTTTGGGGATTCCACCTCCTGGAGCTCCTGGGCCTGCCCCTGAGGTCCTGATTCCGCCCCCTGGTTCTGTAGCCACGCCCTCGCCCCACAAGGGCCTGTCTCTACCTGTGACTGGTCCGGGGGAGACCCTGCCCCTGAAAGCACCATTGCTCTTTGGTGATCTGGCCACGCCCCACCCCAGCAGGGCCCACTGGGGGTGCACGCCTCCACCCCCTGCTCTCCTGTCTTCTGGCTCCTCCCTGGAGCCCCTGACCACCTCCGCCAGCCCCGATGGGATTCTGGCCGTGCCCCCAGCCCCTAACGCAGCGGCCACTTGGGGTCGGCAACCGCATTACCTGTGTCCCCTGACCGGTCGGGTTTCCTTCCCGCAGATGTACGTCACACTGGTGTTCCGCGTAAAGGGCTCCCGCCTGGTCAAACCCTCGCTCTGCCTGGCCCTGCTGTGCCCCGCCTTCCTGGTGGGCGTGGTCCGCGTGGCGGAGTACCGCAACCACTGGTCAGACGTGCTGGCCGGCTTCCTGACCGGAGCGGCCATCGCCACCTTTCTGGTGAGCCCCCTTGGCACCCATTCTGGTATGGGAGCCCCTCCATCGGCTCCTGGACCCAAAAGGGAGGGCTGCATGATTGTGAAGGGGATGGACTCTGAGGCCTGGGACCAGATCTTTAACCTCACCTTGCCCGGAAGTTCATCTGTGAAATGGGATGACAGGACCTGGATCAGGATGATGTGAGTGAGGTACTTGTGTTGAGTGCAAAATTTGAAGGGTGTTAAAACACTCAGTAATTCAGATAAATCATATGTTAATGAAACATTTTAAAAATAAAAAAATTAGTGCAAAAAAAACATCAAAAATTGAAACTTTACGAAACGGAGCCTTACTTGCCGCCTAGTCCCAGCCCTGTGGAGTTAATTATAATAGTAGCAGCCTCTTAGTAAGGTGGCAGAGAACATAGTAAGCACCAGGAGAATGTTAGCTGTCTTTGAAAACCCTCAGTGTCCTTGTCTGAAAAACGGGGATGGCATGTACACCACTCTTATCTTACTAGCCTCAATATGCCTCTGTCCCAGGTCACCTGTGTCGTGCACAACTTCCAGAGCCGGCCACCCTCCGGCCGAAGGCTCTCCCCCTGGGAGAGCCTGGGCCAAGCCCCCACCATGGACAGCCCCCTCGAAAAGTTAAGTGTGGCCCAGGTAAGGGGGGCCGGGGACTGCTCCCGGCTGGAGAGGGTGGTGGGTGGAAGGGGGACCAAGGGTGCAGGGAGTCAGCAGCAGATCGGGGAGGGGGGTCCTCAGGGCCATGGGGAGTGTGGGGGGGTGACTCATCTCTGTGAACATAAGACCTGGGGGGACAGTCCCACAGAATAGAAGGGTGAGACCCTCTCTCCCTGCCAAGGGGACATGGTTAATCCTGATAACCTGGTTGTCTTTTCCATTGGGCTCTCTGCCCAATGAGGCCCTCATGCTGTGGCCCGCGGGGCTCAGGGGACCGCTAGCCCATCCCTCTGCCTCTTTGTCTCAGGAACCCGAGGCCTGCAGGCCGCATTCGACACCGGCACGGCTCACCCCATCCAGTGAGTGTCCGGGGGAATGGGGGGATAAATGAGGGGACTTCCAGATGGTGGTGACTGCCACAGAGGTCTTACCTCCTCCCAAGCTTTCTAACTCCATGACCTCTGACCCCCAGAGCCGCAGAACTGCGCCCGCCGTGGCCACCTGATCCCAAGCTGCGCGTCCTCCAGGGCTCCAGCCATGTGTTCATCACCCCGTGTGCCCCGCCCTCGATTGAGATCTGAGCCAACGCCCCTGCCTCTGCCCCTGCCTCTGCCAGCACCAACCCCCAGCCAGGGCCCCTCACCCTCCTCTCCTGGGCCTGGGGGGCCAGGAGGGGGTGGTGGACGTGGCCGGAAGCTGTTGTTGCCCACACCCCTGCTGCGGGACCTGTACACCCTTAGTGGACTCTATCCCTCCCCCTTCCATCGGGACAACTTCAGCCCTTACCTGTTTGCTAGCCGTGACCACCTGCTGTGAGGCCCAATCACTCACCCAGAATCTGCCAGTCCTCATTTCTTCCCTGCCACACGTGTGCGTGCGTGCGCCGTGTGAGTGCCAAAGCCCCCTGTCCCCAGACCAGCCAGGTCCAGACAGCAGAGGATGGCTGGAAGGACATTTGGGGGCCCCCTGCCTCCCTTGCCCTCTGGGACATCCAAGTGGGCATAACTGGGAGGTGGGCCCTTGCCCCCTAGGATTGCCTTTTTGAGGGCCAAATCCTGACCCCATTGGCTATTGCCAGCCAATGGGAGCCTCCAGTTATTTGAATTGTAACCAAAAGGAGTTTACTCCAGCCAATGGGAGCCTCCTCCTCACTTAGAATCCTCAGGCAAGAGGGCAACTCCAGCCAGTGTTCAGCAAATGAACAACCAATAGGAGCCCTTGTTTTCCAGAATTTCTAGGGTGGGTATGATTCCAGCCAATGGGGGACCGCCCATTGAGGAGGGAGATGGGATCATCCTTTATAACTGGGTTCTCTCTCCTCAGGATCAGAATCCAACCCGAGGGTGGGGGCAGGTTCCCCCATGGCAGGGTCCTTGATTCACCCCTTCCCCTTTCAGACCCTCCACCATGTGCACCCTCCCACCCAGACCCTCCTAACTCCCTCCATATGCAGGGCTTGTCCAGTTCAAAAGTTTTGTGGTTCAGGGTGCTGTCTCCCTTTGCCTGTGCCCAGGTCACTCAACCAAAACCCTTCTGTTATTTATTAGGGCTGTGGGAAAGGGCCTTTTTTTTTCTTGGAACCCACCCCTGTTTTTCACACTGCCCCCATGCCTCAGCCTCATGAGGATGTGCCATCATGGGGGCATGGGTGGAGCAGAAAGGGCTCCCCATCCAGGAGGGCAGCCAAAGGCAGTGGGCAGAGGAGACACTGACTCCCTTTCCTGCCCCTCCCTCATCTTTAATAAAGACCTGTTTGTAACAGAAGTTTGGCCACATGCCTTCCTTCCCTGTGGAGGACTTTTATTGTGGGTCTAGGTGTCAGTGAGGCTGGGTGTGGGTGTATTGTTAGTGTATCTGAGGGCAATTGTGGAAAGACAGTGTGGGGCTGTGGGCCAGCAACTTGGGTTTAAATCTTGGCTCAGTGCTTCTTGGCCTCAGGAAAGTTAACCCGTGAAATGCAGACCCACAAACCTACAGTGAGGGGCCTTACATGCCTGTCTTCCCCGGGCAGCTGGCCTGTTTTTTTTTTTTTTGCCTGTTTTTTTGTTTTTGTTTTTTTACCATGGCCAGGGTGTAGAAGGCACAGGAAATAGGGTGAGTGGACTCAGGGTCCTGATAGTGAAAGGGGATGCTGAGGACAGTTGGAACCTCAAAGCCAAACCCCTGGATGCACGGATGAAAGCAGGAGTTCTGATTGTGAGGTTGTGCTGAAGACCCCATGGAGACCAGGAAGTGTAGGAGGGGCAGGGAAACACACACACACACACACACACACACACACACACACCCCGGCTCTGCAGGGCTTCAGACAGGCCATTCAGGGCATGAGTCATCCAGGGACTAGGAAAAGGGAAGCTGCTTTCCCCTAACTCATCCTTTCATTCGTTCATTCATCAAACACTAGGGAGCACCTACTGCATGCCAAGTGCTGTGTGATTAGACACAGGGGCTATCACAGTTAACAGAACAGACACGAATTTCTGCCCTCATGGAGCTCACATTCTCATACTTGAGACAATAAACAAGATGTATAAGCTATATACAGAACTACAATTGCAAATTTCAAAAATATCTGAAAACCAAAAAAAAAAATTTTTTCTTAATTCATCTGTGGCAAAAACCTGACCTGAACTGACATGAGGTTACTATAACTTTCATTTATTTAACTGGATGTGAATATTCTTATGTTTCATTGATGATAAAGTGTTTGATTTTGAGATGTTATCCCAGACTCCGCCAGGGGTGTTATGCAACACATAGTATTTACACCAGAGTTATTTTAAAAAATCTGAAAAATTCTGAATTCCAAACTCTAGGACCACAGACTTAGGTCAGGGAGTGAGACCTCTGACATGTTAGATATTAACAAGTGATCAGGAGAAAACTCAAACTAGAGAAGACAATAGGACAACTGGGATGGAGACACCGTTTGCAATTTAAAGTGGGTGGTCAGGAAACTTCTTTCTGAGGAGATGATACTGGAGACGAGGTGTGAAGGAGAGGGGCGAGGGGTCCATTAACATACCAGGGCTGGTGGAGAAGCATTCCAGGCGGAGGGAAGAGCAAGCACAGAGGCCCTGAGGTTGGGGGGTGCCTGTTACATTCAGGGAACAATGTGGAGACCTGTGTGGCTGGAGCGGAATAAGTGAGGGGGAGGTGGTGGGCCTGTTGTGGACCACGGGGAATGAGATGGGAGCATGAAAGGGCTGACATCAGAGGAGGTACAGAACCATGGACACCCCTGCTTCCCCGACCAGAGCTCCAGTTTCTAGGGCTCACACCTGTTGTTGCACAGCCGCCTTCACGCAGGACAGGAAGGAAGCAAGTTTTCAGCACGGCGGACAGCACCCCTACCAACCCAGTTGGTGCTGTCCACGGTTCTGATGTTGAGCACAAGACAAGAAAGGTTAAAATGGGGCTGCAGGATACAAAGAAGTGTCTGGGCCGGCTGGAGAGGGTGGTGGCAGTAGCCTGAGCCTTGCCCACATCCCCATCCCATGATGGATAATCTTAGGTAAAGAACCCATACTGAGCCGAAACCGGTTTGGCTCAGTGGATAGAGCGTCGGCCTGCGGACTGAAGGGTCCCAGGTTCGATTCCGGTCAAGGGCATGTATCTGGGTTGCGGGCACATCCCCAGTGGGAGATGTGCAGGAGGCGGCTGATTGATGTTTCTCTCTCATCGATGTTTCTGGCTCTCTATCTCTCTCCCTTCCTCTCTGTGGAAAATCAATAAAATAAAATAAAAAATAAAAAAAAGAACCCATACTGAGATGTACCCGCTTATTCAAGAGCTTTCTCGACGTGCTCCCGTGGGTCTCACAGCATCTCAAACTGAGCTCAACAAAAGCAGAGCTGTGGTTTAGAATGTAAATGAGATCATATCCCTCCCCTGCTCAAACCCTCTTGTGGGTCCCCATGGCACTCGATGTGAAAGCCAAAGTTCTTCCGATGCCTCAGAGCCTTTGCACGTGCAGGTGCCTCCACCTGGAATGTTCTCTCCCCTCCCCCCCCCATATTTGCATGATTCTCCCCATTACCTCCTTTAAGCCTTTTCTCTACTGTCAACTTCTCATTGAGATCTTCCCCTACCACTCCATTCAGAACTGCAAAAACAGCCAAATAATCGGTCCTCCAAACTTTCCTTCCCTGTGCAAACTTTTTTTGCACGAATTTAACATCTGCTCGTAGACTATTTAAATTCCTCAGCCTCCCTCACAAGGGATGTCAGCTCAGACAAAGATTTTGTCAACTGTTCACTACTGAGTTCCCAGTGCCCAAAACAGGGTCTGGCACACAGCAGGTGCTCAATAAATAGTTGTCACATAAATTAACTTGAGGATGTTGATAAGTGAGGGAGAAACACAGACTGTCCACGTCCTCATCCCCTCACCCATCAGTCCTCCAGGTAGCTCCTCTATGTTAATTGTTCTTTTGTCAGAACAGGAAGATGGGATTCTAAGCAGTGAGAGAAAGAAGTACTGTGTGCATGAGAGGTATGCCAAACGTCTGCATCTCTGCCAATGTACTCAGCCTACATTTATGAGCACCTACTGTGTGCTGAGTGCTCACTAGTAGCTCTTCTAGATCCCCAGCAGTGAACAAAAAGAAAGACCCTACCTTGGGGGAGCTGAGCTTCTAGTGGGGAGAGAGGCAATAAAATAAGTACATAATATTGGAAGTTATATGTTATTTGAAGATATATAAAGACAGATACGCAGTTAAAAAGTGAAGCATGGCCTGGCTAGTGTGGCTCAGTGCTTGAGCGGCAACCCATGAACCAAGAGGTCACTGGTTCGATTCCTGCTCAGGGCACATGCCTGGGTTGCGGGCTTGATCCCCAGTAGAGGGCATGCAGGAGGCAGCCAATCAATGATTCTCTCTCATCACTGATGTTTCTATCTCTCTCTCCCTCTCCCTTCTTCTCTCTATAAAAAAAAATCAATAAAAACATGTTTTAAAAAGAAAAAAAATGAAGTGTGTGCAATCTTTCCCTAGTCAGGGAAAGCCTGAGTGATATTTGAGCAGAGACCTGAATGGAGTAGAAAAATGAGCCACCGGGCTATCTGGAAGCTGGGTGCTCTAGGCAGGGGAACAGCAAATGCAAAAGACCTGAGGTGGGCTGTGTTCAGCATGCTTCCATGTATGCAGCTGTGTGATACAGTTGTCACTACTGGGTGCTTGTGCATTGGTAGTGTTGCAACGTGAGGTGAATCATGGTTTGTTGTTGGGAGGGGCTGAGGTGGTGCCTTCGACAAGGCAGTGTAACAGTGTACCTCATCTCTGTGTGTGTATAGACAGAGCTCCAGGTACATCAGCTAACAGGAAACGTGTCTCTGTGTGTGGTGGCAATGGTATGGTTGTATCAGTGTGTTCTGGTGTGTGTGCAAGGGAAGGGTGTGGGGGTGTGAAGGTAGGAGAGAGTGTGGATAGGATGCTTTGTGTCAGGATAGGGTAGGTCTGTGAGCATGTGGATGATGGGGATTCTGGAAGTGGAACATATGCAGAGATGCCATGGTGTGTGTGGGGGGGTACCCGACTGTGTGAGTGGGTATATTGGGGGATGTTGTGGAACTGTGTTCTGGTCCCAGAGGGAGAGAGAAAGCCCCGGAAATCTCAGTTCCGCCCTACCCCTGGGTCTCCTGGCAACGGCACTACTTTGAAGTTACCAGGAGACAGAGTTGCTAGGGCAACAGGCCTGTGAGTGGCAGCTCTGGGGCAAAGTCTGGGTGAGGAGCCCCAGCCTGCGATCACTTGATCACTCACCTTGTTCCTCCTTCTCTCCCAGTTTCTCATCAATCCTACCTTCCTTTTTTCATTCATTTATTTAACGAGCACACAGGGTGGGGCAAGAGTAAGTTTATAGTCGTCCGTATGGGAAATAATACAATAATTAATAAACAATACAAGAATAAACTGTCTCCTGTACTCACAAATGTAAGCCTACTTTTGCCCCATCCTGTATTTTGAGAATCTACAATAAGCTAGTCACTGTTCTGGGCGCTGGAGTTACCGAGTGAACAAAGCTGCCTGCCCCCTACCCCCTTACCTCTAGCAGGACCCAGGATCCCCCAGGCCAGTGGGGAAGCAGTTGGAACTCCTCGCAGACCCTCGGAGACAGCGTCTGAGGTTTTGCACACAAATGTCCCTGAGTCTGCAGCCCCTGACAGACACTGGTGCCAGTACTCAGACCCAGAAAGAGAAGTACGCAGCCTCTCCATCTCTCTGCTTCTCAACTGTCATCGGGTGACATCAGCAAAACCAAAGACACATGCCCCTAGCAATGTTCCTCTGCGACACCATGGGTTCCATTTCACAGGTGAGCAAACTGAGACTAGGAGACCAGTGTGTCACCGATTCCGTAGGGTCTGCTCCCTTCAACTTCAACCTTACATCTGTCTCTTTAGCTGATGGGCTCACAATAATAGTATTCGTGCTGCTCTCCTCAGCAGACTCAACCAAGGAAGGGCCTTTCCCCCCTCAAACGCCCGTATTCCTCCCTCAACTAGGTTAATCATCCCTTCACCAGTGCTGGAGCTAGCAAAGGCGGATCTAACCTTGATGGACAGATCCATAGGCCAATGGGGAAGCGAAGTGCACTGTAACCAAAGAGACCTCGGACTGGGCGGGATTAAGGGCAGGAAGGGGCCGCCGATTGGACGGAGAGGCACTTGTGGATGGCGGAGACGCTGAAGAGGGTGCTAAGCCCCGGTAGGGCGGCCGGGCCCCGGGAGGATATGGCCGCGGAGGTTGGGCCACCTTTGCTGTTGCTCGGCGGTCCAGGGTCCGGAAAGACAGCGCTGCTATTCGCGGCGGCCCTGGAGGCGGCAGGGGAGGGCCGAGGCCCCGTGCTCTTCCTGACGCGGAGGCCTCTGCAAAGCCTACCCCGCCGGACGCCGGCGGCGCTCGACCCCCTGCGGCTACAGGTACTTGAGACGGACCAGCCAGTGGCAGGGCGGATCGAGGATTGAGTGACAACTAGACAGACCAATGAAGGGGACAAAGGAAGGACGAGCCAGAACGGCCGTTCTAGGGCGGAGTCACGAATGAGTGGGGGGCGGACGGGGGTGGGACTTGTGAGGTTTGTTAAAATTGAGTGAGAGACTGTCCAATGAGGGGGCGGAGGGGGCGGAGTTAGCGAAAGGCGGGGCCCAAAGGGTAGGATCAGGGCTGGTTGGGAGCGGGACTAACCCTGGTTGTTGTTAGGACACCAGCTGGTTCCCGGGAAGCCAGAGGCAAGGCTGGGGGTGGGTTTTGCGCTGAAAGATTGACCTAGAGATTTGGCAGAAAGACAATACCTTGCATTGAGGGCGTGCGATCTCTTTTCACTGTAATCTTGCCACTATCGCTCAAAAAAAAAAAAAAATAAGATACACCCTGTTCTGAACTAATACCGAACAGTAACGAGTGATAAATAATTTTTTTAAAAGGCGGGGGGGGGCAATAAAAGAATATATTCGACCACTCTAAGCTGCTTCACTTTGGAATCAGCTGTCTGCTGTCTTGGGAGTGGAGGGCCTCCTCCAGGAAAGTATGCAGGGAAGCAAGGCTGTGGAAGCGGGGAGCCTGGCTTGCTGTGCTGAATCTGGCCCTTTCCTTGTTTTCTTCCTCTAGAAGATCCGTTTCCAATACCCGCCCTCAACCCATGACCTTCTTCAGCTCCTGTGCTCTGCCCATGAGGCCCGGGGACCAGCCCCCTTCCTTCTGCTGCTT